CTACAGCCCAGTGCCAGAGCTGGAAGACATCACTGAATGAAAATGTAGTTCCCCAGTGCTTCCTCTCTCCATTTTCAACGTCTTTGGGGTGTATAACCATAAACCATGGCAGCAGACGCTGCAGCCACCAAGGCCTGGGAGCGTGGGGAGGCGGGGGAGGGGGCCGCCCGCGGGCGGGGGACCCGAGCAGGTCAAGGCCAGAGGGACCCCCCCCGCCCCTGCCTGGGCTGTGTTCCCGCCAGGAGAGGACCAAGCCCCAGAAGCCGCCTTCGAAAGCGGAGCACAGTCCCACAGCAACGCCGCCGGCTGAGGTGGCGGCAGGGGAAGGCACCGGCTCTCGCTTCACACAAACAGCTTTGAAGAGCAGCTCAGTGGGAAGCAGCAGCCCAAGCGACGTGCACAACGCCTTTCCTGGAGGATGCCTGCTCAGCAGTGGCAGGAGACTAGGCCAGTCAGACATGGGGTTTTGTTGGTTCCCACCACCCCACAGCGCACCCAGCAGGTGGAAAGCACTGCTCCCAGTACACCTATTTGGGTGGCAGTGGCTGGGAAAGCCAAACAACCTCAGCGAGCAGGGAGGAGCGGCAGCTGAAGTTCACTGGACAAACCCCCAGCCGGGGTCTCCAAAGACAGGCTGGGCACCGATGTAATTAATACCAGTGCTGCAGCCTCCGCTGGGACACGGGCTCCACCTCTGCTATCATCTGCTCTTGTAGAGGTCATGAGCCCTTAGGAAGCCTTCAGAGAGTCCTGGTGCTGGGACTGCTGCCCACCCCAATCCTGCTCTAAGCCTCCCCATGCTGTCCGGGCAGCCAGGCACCCCACGTCAGCCTCTTGGCCCTGCCCTCCCTTTGCAGGAGACCTGCTGGACTGACAGACCCAGCACATAAGGATGAAGATACCTTACAGAAGAAGAATTTACGCCTTTTAAAGACATCAGGACCTCCTGAAGCCAGTAGCTTTCAAACTGTGAATCCACAGCCCCCAGAGGGAGAGAGGAGGGGTGCTCAAGGATATCTTTTAGCATGTTAAGAGACAGTAAATTTGCCCTACAGGTCCCTGTGCCCCCACCGGAAATAAAAAACAAAATTTGGTTCATAAGATAAAAGGTTCAAAACAACAACTTTAAGTGTCTTATATATGATTGGGTGCTCAGCTACCAAAAAGAAAACAGTGCTTTTAATGAAGGAGGCTTCTCATGGCCAGGGGTATGTCCTGTACAGAGGGCAACAGCTCTGCAGCCCCCAGGAAGCAGCATGATGACGGCTCCTTCTCCAGTGTGCCCTGATTGTACACCATGGACGATTATTGAATTGTTAAAATAAATTTAATAATTTTAACAAATTAACCACTTCGGCTCTTGCTTCACTATGGAGTTAACCTGGGCTCCTGCATGTCGCAGAGCTGAAATTCAGCTGGCGAGGACAGTTAGCAGCTGAATGCCTTGACTCAGCAGTGGCTTTGTGCCCAGCCGTTCAGACTTCCCCAGCCTTATTCCAGAAACTCTCTGCTGTGGCTAAAAACAGCTTTAAATTGAAAAGGGTAGATGGGAGGTAAGGGGGTTGCACACAGCAACGTCCCACCTCAACAGCTGAGCATCCTGCTGCTGGTCAGACCTGCTGAGGTATGCAGGAAGCAGGAATTTGATTTCTCTCCTTTGAAACTACTGTTTTCACAGGGCTTCCATCCAACACCAGGGAGAAAAATCCCACATCCCCACAGATTGCTAACTTTCCGGAGGATTTCTCTTTCCATAACCATTTCTCTTCTCCTTCTGCCCCTCTTCCACTGCTTTGTGGAGTCACCTCTTCCCAAATGTAACCAGTCCCTCTGCCCCACTCTGACCCACCACCAGAACTGCTTCCACTGGTGGAAGCAGTTGAGTTATCCCAGTCCAGAGCTTGCTGGACAGGGATACACATCATGAAAGCCACCAATCATCTGGAAACACCACAACCTCAACCTGCTCTCCTGTTTGACGTGGTCCCTCTAGACAGGAGGATGCTGGAAAGTTGGCAGGTGTGTGCAGAGGGGATGGAGGAAGGGCTTCACCTCCCTCTGACCCCCCAACTGCTGGAGACTGTGTCTCAGCTCCGCTTTCAGCTACGCCACTGCCCACCTGGAAGCAACAGCTGGGTGAAAAGGATGCACAAAGTCAGTGTTTGTCTCTCTCCCACTTGGCTCACTCCTTGTCCACTTGATCTCCCTTTCACATGCCAGTGGTAGGGCTGGGGCTTGTAGAGCAGGCAAGAGACGGAGAAGGGCTGAAGAACAAGACCCAGCAGTGACCTGTTTTTGTTGGTGCTCCCAACACTGGTAAAGGGATCTGCACTGCAGGAAAGCAGAAGGAAAACTCTGGCTCAGCTCAGGAAGAACCCCAGCATTGGCAAAAGCAGACAAGGGCCTAGAGATAGATTGATTCATGGGCTGTCCAGCCTCCTCTTTCCATTCCCAAACACTGCCAGAACAAAGGACTAAATTCATCCTTTGCAGTTAAACTCAGAGCTCCACAGACTGCAGTTGGCTGTGGCCCCTGAGAGTGGTTTCACATTTTGGGGTGATGCAAGTTAGGTGGATCCTCTACCCGTGCTCCAGAGGAAAATCAAAGGCATGTTCCCTTCACTGCCACCAGCTGCCATTGGTGGGGAAGCCGAGGCGAGGGAAGGGGAGCAGGAAGGGTCCCAGCCACGGTGCCACGAGAGTGGCTGCTTGGCTTCGCACCGAGCACACTGACCAGTCCTTTTTCTTTCCCTCATTCCCGCCTTTGAGCCATCCATCACAAAAAGCTGCCTCTTTTTTTTTTTCCCTCCGTTCACGGCCTGGCTCCCTTTCAAATTCCCGGAGAAAAGTATTTATCTGCTGGATGAACGATGACATCCGGCCAAACCCCAGACACGCCATCACGTCTGATCCAGTCCAGCCATCTATCACAGCTCTCATCTCGTTATTGGTAAGCTGGCGGCCTGCCAGCACTCCGGGCTCGGGAATGGGCTCCCACCAATCTCTCCAGAGGAGAGAGTCAAGGACTTTTATTAATTAGCATTTTGAATTGTAGCTAATAAATACCCCTCTGGCATTCAGACTGGGATAGGAAACACAACAGAGACATCCTTGAGATGCTGTAGCATTTTGCTGCTGGAGGCAAATGGACAAGAGTCACATGCTAAGTCCTTCTGCATGCTGCGAGTTCACCGCTCCTCCCCGGAGAGGAGCGGGCAGTGGAACAGAGCACGACCCACCACCGGATTCAGTGGTACATCACCCACTTGCCCATCCAGCACTGCAATGGCCAAACGCTCACAAACACATGGCAATTTTGCAGTGAGTGCAATTTTGTGCCCAGGAGATGCTCAGCAGGCCTGCAGGACACTGCGGGATATACCTGAGGATGGACCCCGCAACACCAGCACATGCCTGGGTTTGGACTTCAGGCTGGTGCTGCTGCTGCCCTTGCCTGTTGGACCCAAACCAGGGAGACAATGAGGGACATGGCACTGATCATTGCTTGGCCGGATGGCCAGGAGCTACAGTTTCAAACACAGCAGAGCTGCACTGCTCTGGGGCTGATGCTCAGCACCCAAAGGTCTCTACATCTGAATGTCCTCCTTGTTCTGCCCACAGCCCCCACCCCGCCTGAATCAGTCTACAAGACAAAATAAAGGTGAGAAAACTGTGTGCAAGACTGAAGTTGCCCTTCAACCCACCACGTGTGATGGTGCCTCAGCTACAGGCGGGTTTAATAAGCAACTCCCCTTGCAACGCAGCTCACCACCCTCACAACGCAGGGCTCCAAGACTCATGCACAGGAAGCCCCTCTATGTCCCAAAACAGCCCCAGGGGCTGTTAATCCCTGTGATGAACCCCATCCAATGTCCTTGCAAGCTCATCTTTTCCTTATGTCTCTTGCTTGCCCCTGAGCTGCTGCCTTCGCTGAAGGATGACTGCCAGGGTGGCAGGTTAAGTGGTGAGCAATAGCTGGGCAGGACAGATGAGAGCACCAGCCAACAGCAAGCAATTAGTTAATGGGCTCCGGGGCCCTCAGACCAATCTCATCAAGTGACAGAGAGCTGCAGGAGGAATGATGACAGGCCAAGCAAACAGAGACAGG